GAATATACGTAAGTGACCATACCGTTTCTGATTTTAGCAGTATTGCCGGTGTTAATTGTCCCACCATCAATAAAACCATTGAACAAATAAATTCAAAAATCAAAGAGATAAAACAAGATGAATATTTAAATATTCTCGCAAAGATTCAGATCTGTGCGATGTTTTGTGCGAGAGATATTCAAAGAAAGGTTTCCTCAAATTTATAAGACTTTGTGAAGACACCATGTTGGTGTCTCTCTGAGGGACAAAAACATATGGTATCGAGTTTTGCTATAAATTAAAAAGCCTGTAATCGTCTTCTGAGTGCTCATAAACATCTAGATGGGTACTAATTCTCATGCAAGGACTGTTCAGATTGCGAAATCTCAGCAGATAAGTCACCTTTTTGACTTACGTGACAGTATGTTAATATCGTGTCACGCAAAAGCTTAGAAAGTTAACCTTGCTTTATCACAAGACAAAAGTCTTCAACTGTTCGATCAACTGACTAAACTAAAATTTCATTAGGACTGATAATTTTAATGACGTCACGTGAAAACCAAGAATACGGGACGCGTGTCACATGTGAACCTTATAATGGCTGTGCCCACCGTAGAGTCTCTGTGTCTCGGTGGTTGAGCGCAAAGGTGCAGAAACCGAAGGCCTGAGGCTCGATTTCTCGGACGCTTATCTCACTCTCGTGATCAGACGGGAAAACGTGTTTCTTTATGAAAGTATTGTTGTTTTCGAAAGGATCTTGTGTGGGCACGAGAAGTTAAATATACAAGTAGAACACCTCTATTTTCACCGTAGAGTCACCATATCGGACTTCAAAGTTAAAAATTCGAAGTGGATAATACTTATGCATTCTTCACCCCTAACAGAAGCCGTAAAATGGAACAAATAAAACTTTAAACGTTGAGACAAAGCAGCTAAATTGTTAAACCTATGAAGCCTTTTCTATCGTGGAAGGGGGATATCACGCTAAGAGACTAACCCCCTCATATTTGCATGGTGTGTTCCTAAAGTGATGACTCTAACCTTATCTTTAAATCATTCCCAATTAAGGAAAACCTGTATTCTTGAACTTGCATCCAGTGTGATCGTTCACACCCTTAGAAATTAAAGCAACAGTGATTTACATGCGTGACAGTACACCAAGGTGACCAAACACCTTGTTACTAAAAATACCTTTAGAGGTTTACATTTTTAGGAAGACATAAATAGGGGATTTCTATCCAGTCTCTTCGTTATCGCATCTTAATCTTCTTTTCAATTAATCTTACAGTACCCAGCCGAACGTCGTGGATAACTTCAGGCCAACCACGACGCAAGTTCACTTCGTAATACAGAGGCGAGAACTATTTCTTCAGTTAAACACAGCTCAGCTACTACCAAGAGAGGTAGAAAAACCTATCTCAGTACCTGTCGATAACAGGAACACCACTGGTAACATGTCAACGGCAAATACAACAAAAGCTAATAGCACTAGCGCTCCAGATGGAAACGTGGTAGGTCGTTGAAAANCCTTTTATGTACGGTATGGTTGCTGTAGTCGTAGGGGTTGCGGTGTCGTTTGTTTCGGTAGTGGTAGTGGGTCGGTGAGTGTTTCGTCGGATGAAGTCGTTGTTGTAGTTGTTCTTCGTAAAAACACGGTGAAGGTATTTGTTCTCGTCGGATAAGCTGTCTGTCGAGTCACATACTAGTTGTGCGCGTCGTGTTAGAGTTCTGATAGTTGTGGCTTTGTGTGATGTAGGGTTGTAGGATGACTCGTCTAGTAATCTGTCGGTGTGTGTCGGTTTCCTGTAAACTGTCGTTCGTAATGAGTTGTCGTTGTGGCTTACCAGGCAGTCTAGAAAAGGAAGTTTGCCATTTTCTTCGACTTCTCTGGTAAACTGTATGTCAGTGTTTTGTTCGTTAACTTTGTTTCTCAGGACTACACTCACCCGGACGATCAGACTACACCTTCACATGTTACCCCCGGGTTCAAACCATTTACTGCAAAACTTTAAAAGTTGAGACAAAGCAGCTAAATTACTAAACCTATGAAGCTTTTTCTATCGTGGAAGGGTGATATCAAGCTAAGAGACTAACCCCCTCATATTTGCATGGTGTATTCCTAAAGTGATGACTCTGACCTTATGTTTAGATCATTCCCAATTACGGAAAACCTGTATTCTCGAACAAACCAACTTTGCGTCATAAATTTCGCTCAGCGGACTTTGCATCCAATGTGTGATCGTTCACACCCTTAGAAATGAATGCAACAGTGATGTACATGCGTGGCAGTACACCAAGCAGACCAAACATCTTGTTACTAAAAATAGCTTTAGAGTTTTACCCTTTTAGGAAGACATAAATAGGGGATTTCTATCCAGTCTCTTCGTTATCGTATCTTACTCGTAATTTTAATGAATCTTACAGTACCCACCCGCACGTCGTGGATAACTTCAGGCCAACCGCGCCGCCATTTCACATCGTAATACAGAGGCGAGAACTATCTCTTCAGTTAAACACAGCTCAGCTGCTACCAAGAGAGGTGGCAAAACCTATCTCAGTACCTGTCGATAACGGGAACACCACGGGTAACATGTCAACGGCAAATACAACAAAAGCTAATAACGCTAGCGCTCCAGATGGAAATGTGGTAGGTCGTTAAATAGTGTTTAACTTAACTATCGTGCACTATCAGTCCAATGGAACCTGCAAGTCTAGCCTAATTTTAGTTATTTACGATAAGAGACAGTCTCAAAAATGCTCAGATTCCTTACTTTGTAGATCTTTGCGTGGAGGAAATTGAGTTTTTTTCACGATTCTCCCATAAATTGGGGAAAAATATCTTAAAGGTTTTTGTTTGACGCCAAAATGTCTCATAAATGTATAAATCTCAATGGTTAAAAAGATGTGCTCACTTAAAAGGTAAAAAATTTATTTAATCATGATTTTCTCTTTTTCATCTTGGTCAAATATTGTGTCAAAATTGTCTTTTTTTCGTGCGACTAAGGAGCTTACAGATGAGGAAATACGCGATCTACTGCGGGCAAACAACTGCACGAACCTAAAGTTTGATGAGGTAATGTGATTTTTCTCGTGTCAGCTGGTTTAAAAACCTTGTTTATATTAGATAAGAAAGGTTGTGGCGCCATGCAGAGATTTTTTTCAGAGAAAGAAGGTGAGACTGAAGTGACTAGGAAGGGACTCAGGATCTAATTCAAGTAACTCCTTGTCTTTGTAATGTGTAAAGTGAACAACTGGTAATTCTCTTACGTTCCTATTTTATCTTAGGAGGCCGGAGCCGTCGTTTATAACAAAGACATATTGAATCAATATCAAAAGCACAAAGAAACCCAAACCAATATGGAACTAGTGCTAATGTGTATTTCTACGGCAGCAGTGTTTCTGGCTCTCATATTACTGACGGCGTTAAGGTAAGTTTGTTCGTGAGTTCCAAGGAAAATTGTTGAAATCAGTACCCTCGTCAATAATTATACCTGGCATTTCTGCCATTTTAACCGCTTTTTAGATCAATTTTGTATCAAGTGTCGCATGTAGTTCGAGATTGCTTCAGTTTTGCTTTACTTTGCTCAATGATTGGTTCAGAAAATCGCGCCACTATTTCAACCAATTAGTGTCAAACTAAAACCAATAACGTCTTTGACACCCACGCTTTTCCAGCCTCTGACACCTTACTCCTCATCAGTTTGAGTTCCCACCATCTTATGACATTTTCTATTGTTCTCATTGTCCATGTGATTACTTTTGTTTTACGTTTTACGTTTCTCAATCGGGATGCGTTCAACTAGTTACACGAACATGATCCTACTCCTCGTCGTAAACCTAGCTCTAGGTCTCAGTCCTTTCGCGGTCCTTCTTAGGGCAAGTAGTGTTGTATGACATGCGAAAGAACCTTGCTTGATTATCTTTTGGGATTATAGAAATGATGAAGGAGTTATATTTGGAGGAAGATATGTATTTTAAATAGACAGCATTGACACTATTTTTTCAAGTCTTGAGTTCATTTTTTTTAGGTTAAAGAGTTCAGAAAAGCTGTTCATACACAAGAATCTCCTTTTGTCGCTGGGTCTTGGAAATCTTGTGTATATCATGGATAAGACTTTATTTGATACAAGAGAAAAACATACGGTGAGCAAATCTTCAAAGCAAAATGAAAATAACGTAGAATTTGTACTGGATGTAAGATGACTGAGAATGAAATAATAATATTTGCTACCTAACCGCGCATCTTTTAATGTTTCGTTTATTTAGGCTTTATGTACAGTGGTGACGGTCATTCAGTATTTCTTCCACACGGCAATATTTACATGGATGCTTGTGGAAGGAATAAATCTCTACATCAAGCTGGTTAAAGTATTTTCAGCGAAGAACCAATATGTGGCATAAGTGGCCTTCGGATGGGGTAATTATCCATTTTATTTCCTATTTGATCCAGCGATTTTAATTGATTTAATAATTATTTCTGGCAGAGACACAGCTGCAGTAGTTCGCTCGACCCTTTTTGTTGTCAGCCTAAAAAAGACAAAAACCTAAATTACGGGGTGTGGCAGCTACATTGTATTTTCTCTTTGGAACTGAAGAATGGGATTGAGGATAGAGAAAGGCTGGCTATATAGTTATAAGTTTGCAAAAGACCAATGAAAATACTTCCCAGTCGACACCGAAATACGTTTTCATACCGTATTGAAAACTACTGTTTTCAATACGGTATGGTAGACTGTTTATGGCAGTGGTACTTCACGCTACATCTTACATCATAAAAATAAAAAGAAAGTAACTTTTTTTCAAATAGATAGACTCAGGATAAGGCGATTTATGTAAGCTTCAATTGTTATTGCATTCTGTGTTCTCCTTTTTAAGGAATTCCTACTGTTATCACGGGGTTGGTGGCTGCTATCAGTTCGTCCACATTTGACATGGGGAAGCCTTCGTATACCGATATATCTTGTGGTGCTCTCCAACTCACCGCTAGAAATGAGCGACGCAGGTATGTTCGTTGAAAGGTTCCTTCTTTCCAACGCAAGTTTGATTTCGTTTTCTGGGTACTAAGATAGGTCTTTAAAATACCCCGAAACAGGTTGAAGGAATAGCCTACTTTTGGTTCGAGGAATTCCTCATCACAATTTGGTTTTGGTTAAACGAAAACTCTGAAACTCTAGGGAATATTAGCAAAATATCTCATCCAACACTGCTCCTTAGATGAAGATCGCTACGTTGTGATGTAAAACGTTTTGAATTGGAAATACTTGACTGCGTCGACTGAAATAGGCAATTATCTCTCCCACAGATGTTGGATCAATGGGAGTGTATGGATTTACAAAGGACCCATATTAGGGATTCTTGTGGTATGATATGTTTTAATTCTAACGATCTTTCTTTCCAGTGACTATCGAAGAAGACTATTTATTTATCTTGATTTATCTTCCAGGCAAATACTGTATTATTTGTAATTCTGCTTCGCGTCATATTTGGGAAAATATCCACTAGATACGGAGGTGATAGCATACAAGCTACAAAGTAAGGAAATTATTTGCATTCCCTATGAACTACGTTGCTCCATTTCGTAAACATTTAAATCGTAATTTTAGTGTCGATAAACTATCTTCTCCAATTGTTTCTTACCAGGAAGGGCATCAGAAGTACCGTCGCCTTGCTCCCGTTGCTCGGGGTTACCTGGCTTGTCGGTTTTTTCGTAGAGCTCCATCATGCCGTAGCATATATCTTCATTCTGTTAAACTCCTCACAGGCATGTAGATCAAGATTTAAATATAATTCAATTGATATCTAGCGTTCATCTTTTTAAATAGTTTTTTAGTTTTAAAGAAGTTTTGTTAGGTGCCTCTGCTGAAATACGGAGATGGCAACGAGGAACATTAAAAAAGAGTCGCTCAGATAAAGCTTATAAACATTGTTTTATCCCATATATGTTTGGGTATTTTGAGGAAAGAAAGTCAAATCTTAAGAATAAATATTTTGAATTTTGTGGTAATGTTAAAATACGCCGAGGGAGTATGTTAACTTTTCGAGACCACATACATACACAAAACTATCCTGCAGGTGAACTTGTTCACCAAATTTGCAAATGGATGCAGATTTAAATTTCATTCAAATAGAATTTTTTTCAGAAAACGTTTCGCTTTGTTATTTATTAATGTTATTGATGATGATAGAAAATTCAAGAAAATTACAAAAGTATAAAAGGTAAATCAACGAAATACATCCTAAGGCTACGCTGGTGCAACATAAGAAAAATACATGTTTTATGAAGAAAACATTGTATATTTGACAGAACATTTTTGCAAATACCCATTTACTATTAATAGTCGTCGGTGTAACTTTCAAAGAGTTATTGTATTCAAAAATAATACTAATAACACAAACATAATCAATTCCAAACAGGTGGTCAATCGAACGAAATTTATTCGCGTTAGATCCTGCTTCTACTAAAAGCTAAAGCTTTGATTTGAGGTTTTTGAATTAAAAGACTAGTGGAATGTTAGCGGTGTTTTATGAAGATCTCAGCAATTCAATGACCAAATGCATTTGAATAACTATTTGTCTGGGTATATAGTTGCAAAGCAAACATAAACTTTCTTCCTGACCTTTCAGTCAAAGAGAATTCTCTGCGTCATGTTCCATTCGCTGATAAGACGTCCGTTGAGTAGCTTTTCTCTTGAATCCTCAGCGAAGTTAAAACATGGCTTAAAAGTTTAGTGTTATCCTTCGAATGACTCCGTTTATAAAAGTATCCATCCCGCACAAAGGCAAAAGAAGGGTTTTATTC